ATTGTTGCAAAAGCGGATAAAGAATTTCCCTTCAAAAAAAACCTCCCACTAATTTACGAATGCTAAAATGGTAAACATTTGGCATCTAACAGCTTGCAGATAAAGTAGGAACAAATGGGGATCTTTATCTCCCAAACTGTCTCTGACACATGTTAAGACTTAGAATGTCATTCCTATCTGCTCCACCTGTATTTAATTTATGAAATGGTTCCCCTAATCACACCGGACAACCTGTGGTTGCTCCATTAACTTCAAATAAACCACATGCTATTAAAATAGTATTTGGCTTTTTTTTAAAAGAAAGACAGAGCCACCCCTCCCCATGATTAAACAGGCCTCACATTGCATTGGCTGCGAAACCAGGTCTCTCTGGCACCTCCACTGTCATATGAGCCTCTCTGCTTCCAAACTTGTTCCCTTGATTCCACTAACGGCACATCTCATTTACAGAGCAGCAGCACTATTTTTCAAAACAATAAAGTTAAAGCCAAGTTATTACTTTAGCTTGCTGCCAGTCTGCCCTTCTCTAGTCTCCTACATCCACTAATTTCTCAGCAGTTAGCTACATTTCACAGAAAACCCAGGGGCATGAGCAGCCAATTCGATCATGGGTGGTGTGTCACAGCTGAGTCTAATCCTGCTCGCGAGCCCGTCTGGTTTCAGCAGGAGACAAAATATTAGATCAGCAACAGAAATTATGGTGATTCTTTCAAATCCTCAGCTCAGTGTTCCTAACTCAATGTGAACCATCCCTACTGTAGTTCAACAGCAATCAGCTGACATGTAGATTCAGGACAGAAACATCCTGGTCTGCAAACTCAACCACTAACTTAACCCGAAAAGACAGGGGATGGGGAAGGGGGAAGAGGAGAGAGAGACAGAGAGAGAGGGAGAGAGGGGGGAGAAGGGGGGGGGGAGAGAAAGAGAGAGGGAGAGAGAGAGAGACAGACAGACACAGAGGGAGAGACAGTGAGGGAGAGAGAAAAAAGAAAGAGACAGTGAGAGAGAGAGAGAGAGAAAAAGAGACAGTGAAAGAGAGACAGACAGAAAAAAGAGAGAGAGAGAGAGAGAGAGAGACTGTGGGAGAGACAGAAAGAGACTGTGGGAGAGACAGAAAGAGACTGTGGGAG